GCCTATTGTCTGGCTCACATAGCCTGTGACTAATCAGGGCAGAGCTATTTCCCTGTGGTAATTTTCACATCATGTAATATTGCGGATTAAATTAACTATACTTCGCAACCTTCAAATTTCATGATTTTTCTACATAATATAGCAAATTTCATAAACTTTGCTGGATATAAATTTCAAAAAGATGATACCAGCACTTACCTGAAATTTTTTAGCATTTTGTAGAGGCAAAACTTAAAACAAGCAGAACCGAAACTTGTCAAAGACTGCAACATGGGAAAATCATGTGACCGGATTTTACTCTTTGATTTACAACTTATTTAGTTAATGGCTTGTATTAGTTTTTTTACGCAGCGCTAAAAGAGAGATTTAAAAAAGGGGTTCCATAGGCGAACTGTCAGCAGGCCGACTTCAGTTTAACACTTCACTGCCCGTGGACAGTTACGACTGTAGCGCCCCTAGCGGATTGTGATCTACCTATCTAATGCCAATTTAATACTCTAAGAATCAGCAATCTTTCGTTTATGCTTTCAGCAATTTACCCAACTGGTTCAGATTGTGTTCCAGTTTCTACTAGAACCAAATAAGGTAATTTATTTATTTTATTTTATTCACTGTATGATGGTTGATATCACATTTAAACTGAGTGCATTAACTTTACATGCTCCAATTTCTTTAATGCAACTGGTAACACAATGTTCTTTAATTATTTCCCATGTAAGAGGACATTGCCCTTTATAGTTATTGAAATATTAGAATATTGGAATTATAAAGTAAAAGGGGGTGACCTCAGTCATAAAAATGTTTATATTAACTTCATAGACTAGTTATCATTAAATAATATTTTTGATCAGTTTTGTATGTCATTTATGTCTGTTATTTTTATTTTAATTTGCTCATCTTTGACAGTCCAGCAGACTTATCGAACAGTTGGAAGAATTTTCATCGCAACATGGAGTTAGTGCTGCAGCTTTGAAAAATGTCATCAAAAGTTTACTGACAATTCCAAACAGTGAGTGTGCAGCGAGTCCTTTTATACTTTCTACTGTTACAGTAGTATTACATCTTTATGCCATATTGACATTTTAGATCCAAGATGAGATTTTTAAAAATCTCACAAAATTATTGTTTATGTTTCAAAACGTATAACATTTATATTTACATTACAAATAAACCCTGTTATAATATTAGAGACTAATGATTTACTGTATACATGTAACAGGTGCACTACGGAAGAATCTAGGACCAACACAGTTAAAGGAAGATTTTTTAACTTTAGGTAAGTTTTACTTACCGATTAAGGGAAAGGTCTTAACATGTGAAACATGTTAGTTGAGAAGTATATAATTTTGTGCACTTGGGTTAACTTTGTAGAAATAAAGGATGCATCGGATACTCAAATTAAGAAATGTTTCTCCTATTTTTTCATACTAAAAAATCATTCATTCAGATACACTCAGTTTCGTCAGAGATTCAGGATAGTCTCCCTCTCTCTCTCTCTCTCTCTCTCACACACACACACACACACACTTATCTTGACTTTTTATGTTTTTTTTTTTCACAAAATCTGAAATTGTTTATTCTAGGTTTAGCAGAAGAAAAGTCAACCTATTTTGCTGAGCAGGTAGAGAAATCAAATTTATTAAAAAGCGTAACTATTTAAATCTTCAATCAGCATCCAGTGTTAAGTTATGAATTTTTTACTACATGTATGTTGCAGAGGAATGCTGTTTAATGTCAACAGTATTCTTAATTCTTTTAAACACAGTATCATACTATAGATTATTCCAAGTGGCAGACAAATTCCCAAAGTTTGTATGTATCTTAACGGGGCCGTAGCGATAGTCCGAAGGTTCAATAGTCCGAAGGTTCATTGGTCCGAATGTTCACTATAGAACCTTCGGACCAATGAACCCTTGATTAAAAAATCGATAAAAATGCTACCACTTTTCGGACCAATGAACCTTCGAACCAATGAACCTTCGGACTATCGAGACGCCCCCATCTTAACGGATACAAATATATCTTGCGGATACAAATATAATATGCCACATTGTAACATTTTAAACTGATATAACTTGTTCTGTTCACAGTGGCAACAAAACCTCTTGGCCCTCTCAAGGACAGCCTTAGGTCAGACACTGATGGTCAACCAACTACTGGACATGGAGTGGAAGTTTGGGGGTAAGAAATTTATTTATTTATTTATTTATTTATTTATTTATTTATTTATTTATAAGACTTGAAAGTATTTTGAAATTTTGTCACAAAATCCAGATGTTTGGCTATTGTATTATAATTAACTTTAAACTGATTAGATTTTGGTGGTGGTCCATACATTCAGTAATTCATAATAATAAGTTTCTGCTTTTGCAGTGGTCTGTGCTCTTTGAGTGTTTTTCTAGTGGGGGATTATTTCATTTCAAATCTTATCATTCCCAGTGACAGCCGCCAGCAGTGAACTAAACCAGGTTGGAAACACTTTCATTCAGCTCAAGTTGGTGGTTAATAAAGGAAACAAAACAGAGAATGTATATATGGGTAAGTTGTGTGTAACTGATTGCCACGGTTTGGGAATGAAGTGAAACAAAAATTTTTCGAAAAGATCTGTCACTGTAGCAGAGGCATTGATTTTGATACTTCAACAGAAGAATGCACTAG